TTTAAACTATAGCTATAATATATCATATCATACCTGCCAAAAGTTCCGACTACAATATGCAATAACTCATAAACTTGAGGAAGCATACATACAGGGTGTTTCACAATGATTCGACAAAGGTAATAACTTTTGTTCTAGTGAATATTTTAAAATTAATTTATACTTATTTGTGCTATAAGCTCCACGTTTTTTACTGCACTAAACTATTTTACTTTATTTTTTATTTTTTTAAATTCATGATAGCAATTTTATTAAAAGTAATGCGCTGAAAACTTTTACTGGTCGATAACCAGATTTGGATAATTACTTTTTAAGTTACTAAAGGTTAAAGGGTATGATGAGAGGTGTGGAGTTCGGTAGAGTAATGCGTGCAGATAAAATGGTTATTTAGTTTGTCGAATCATTGTGGAACACCCTGTATATTGTAGGACAATATTATATTTCTCAAGTGTGGCCGTTTGTTCTAACGCGATTAAAACATTTTTGTAAAAGTACAAATGCGTTGTTCGAAAAAAAAATGTAAAGAGTTAAAACAAATAGTTTTTCAAAGGTGATTTTTTTAAGCTTAATAATGCAGATACGATTTTTTAACGTACACTTAAACAACAATATATTATTAGATTTAACAACTACACATTTTTTTTCCACAGGTATATTTTCTACAGCGATATCAAATATATATTCAATATCCACTACGGGGAGAATTACACTTACGACAACATGGTTGAAATGTTTGTTCGAATAAAGAAGCAGCAATGGTTGGAATACTCGCAACGAGTGGCGACAAAGGAAACGTACCAGGAATTATACAAGGAAGTGACAGATTCCTTGGATGACATTTCTAAAACTTATCACCATTTGGTTGTAAATTCCAGCGATTGGTTGTCACCCAAGAGTTTGAAATGGAGAAATTTCATAGAATCCAACTCGAAGTCGGCAGATCTTTTAAAACAAGTCATATTCGTTGACAATGCCAATATATATAATCAATATTCCCAAACCGCGCGTGAATTCGATTCGGCCAAACTGATGGACTTTTATGTTACCGTGGGAAAAGCCCTGGACGATATCGTTTTGGAAACGTCAAACGACATGATGTATTCGTTTTTGAATCTAATATTGCGGCTCATCGAAGACGATTCAAACAAAGACAACAGCTTTGCACAGATCAGCCTAGCTAACGAATTCGTGGACAATTTCTTAACGTCGGTATATTATTTCGAAAATTGGATGTCTTACAGTAAACGACTTAGGAGTTCTAAAATTTTACACAGCAGCCCGGCAATTAAATTGCTACAAGAATACGGTAACTATTGCAAGACATACGGTTCATGGAACTTCCCCAACACAGTGGCGTCATTTTTAGATAAATTCGAGACAGTTTTCGAAAAGCATTTTCCAGGTAACGAACTTGATACGGAAAATATTACCAGCGAACTAATTGAAGAATCCATCACGCAAATAGATATCATCGATAACATGGGGATACATATGGAGGTAATGACAATGCTGCTTGAAGAAACATTGTATGGTCGATGTTAAAATATAGAAACTGGACATTTTTTGTAAAATATTTTGATGTCTTTTTTTTAGATCAAAAAAGACCATTCAATATATTTAAACAGATATGATGTTCAATTTTTAGTTAGATTTTATCTCAATAGTAATTAGTAAAATTGAAATACATGTATAAACTTTTTTCCCTATTAATATAAAATCATTTTTAACATGTATTTTTTCACTAATTTCTCCTCAACTTGTTAAACGTCCAATTTTTTACTTGACTTATTTTTAAGTTTTTTGCAATGTTTTGAATAGAAGGGGCTAATTAGACTTATCAGCCCATAAAGAGTTGAGGTTTCAATAGGTGTACCAGGTTCAACAATAAGGATTATGTTTGAGGATTTTCATAGAATAGGAACATATTATGCAAGTGATATGCATTATAGCTTACTCAGAAAGACACCGCTACAATAAACCCCCCCGGTGACTTTTTTGAGGTATGTATTTTTTAATTACCTGTTTGATTTCATTTGGCGTGAAGTTTTTATCATGAAGGGGACGGAAGGGCTAAACCGGTTTTTACCTCATCAACATATTTGGGTATATCAAGATGATGTTGAAATGTTTCATATAGATGGGTTTTTTAACACTTCTGCTCTATCAGTATTCAAAAAAGCAAATTAACTGTCAGGTTTTTTTAAAGGGATTAAAGGTGAAAATCATTTTTTAGCACAAATAGTAATGAAAATTATAATTGGACACTCAAAGTTAAATAATTTACAGAATATTATACAATCAAGTTGTATTTTTTAACTCAACTGATACCGTGGGTTGTTCCTCCATACCGGCGGCCGTTTTTCAATCATCATTTTGGGATGGCCGAGCGGTCTAAGGTGGCTAGGTGATGATGGGAAATGTGTGGTACCACTTGAAACCCGTACGGCCAATAGCGCCAGTGTTAGATTTAGATGTGTTGGAATCATTACTTAGTGCACTGACGAAGACGTATTCACTCTTATCCATCGAATCGAAAAACATATTTATTTCAGTGTACCGGACATTAAGGCATATGGTTTTCTTAACATAGTCGAAATACTGTTCGGCGACCTTGCTGTTGTTGTGTATGACCTCACTGAACGCATCCCAATCCACGGTTTTCTCCGGATTCTTGTACAGTCTAAATAATTCCCTTTCGTTCACTTTAATAGCACCTTTGGTGAACTCACCGGCTTTCGATACAGTTTTGTCCAACGTTTCGATGGTGCTGCCAACTGTGATGAGGTCGAAATCGTCGACGAACATCGCACGTAGTTCAGGGACGTAACCCATGCCTATGGTCTCGGTAAAGTCTAAGATGGGTCGCTCCAGGATTTTCCACAATCGCTTTGAATCGTCCGACTGCTGGGGTTGCTCCACGTGTCTCGTGTAGTAATCCCGGAAGACGGTAACGTGCACACGGATGTATGCGTACAACGACATTCTGACTATCAGAAAAAAAAGGTCGTTGTAGTGTCTCAAGTGGTCGTAGCTTTCGGACACCCAACGGGCCATTGCCGACTCGTACGACCGTACCATAGACTGCGCCACGTTTCCCCAGTCGATGCCAACCGCTTCGGCTTGGACGTAGGCTACTAGATTGTCATCCTGGGCGACGTGATTGACGAACAGATTGGACGGCATGTAGTGGAAAACATTCGAACCGTCGGCCTTGGTCAAGTGTCGGTCTATCAACGATTTCGTGCCGGAAATGCTCGTCCTGACCGTCGCCAGAAGCAGTGACGGATCCGTATGGGTTGTAGTTGTGCCGCAGGACGTGTCGCGGCCGTTGAGCTCCAGAAATTCCACCAAAGGTTTTTCCACCGTTTCCACGGCTTTGACGACCGACGCCAATCTTGAAGGAAGCAGGTCCGAGCCAACGTACGACACCTTTTTTGCCATTATCTTCGGGTAAATCACTTCGACGGCGGTGTTGGCGAAAATGCTTTGCTGCCACAGCCAGAAAGCACTGTGGGTTCGGTCGTTCTGCAGGGCGATGGCCATTTGATACCCGTAAACCGGCAACTGTTCCAGCGCACGGTCCATGAACTCTTTGTTCGTCAACAGCGGCCTGACCGCTCGCAGGACTTTCAAAGCCATTTCGCCAATGTCGACCAGCGGATCATCGTCGGTCGGACCAGGGCAGCAGTTGTGGTCTCCGACGGATAGTGAAAATACTAGAACGAAATAACAATAATAACTGTATGCTCGAAAACCGATCATGGCGATGTGGAACGATTTCGTCGAGTGTACTGACATTACCTACGTGAGCCCGCTTTCCTGTCATTGTTTTTGAGCAAAAACAGTTTATGCCATTTGTGTATTATGTTTGCTATTAGAGTCGTCGCAGTTAGTGTTTTTTTTCAAACCGTGTATTTTTCTATACCCACGAAAACAGTATGGCCTTCGATAACTTTATAGGTGTTCTGAACAACTTACTTGTTATTGCGTTCCGAGAAAATGAGCGCCTTAAGTTAAATTGATCACCCTGTATGGACAAAATTGTTGACAACGTTTTAGTAACATGATTTTTTTTGTGCTGTGTGGGTATTAAAATACGCATAGGATAATCAATTGTGAATCAACTGATTTTCCTGGTAAATGTTTGAAAAATTGGCCTTCTTAAAGAGGACGTCTAAAATATCTACTCCTAAAATAAATATTCAGAGAGAACTTTATTTTAACTCTTTATGTTATTCTGTAACCTATATTTATATACTAAACTGGAAATCTCAAAGCAAAATTACATCCAAAATTAACTGACTATTTTCCATATGTCATTTTTGATAATATAAACTTTGAGGTATAATGTTATTTATTATTTAATTAAATCTCTATTTGTGTAAAGGAGATAAGTCCACGTTTATACATTTTGCAGTTATCGTCCTTCTGCACTAAGCACTTGTTATTTAAGATATAATTATTATATCTAGTTACTTGATACAATTTCCCCCTCTTCGTAGTAATAAAAAAATTACATGAACAATGTTTTATGTAGAAAAGATACGTGTCTTGCATATTTTAGTTTATCCTAAAAATCACAAAAAGTGGACCCGTTTAGCAGTTAGTGGTTTAATAGTTATATTATTATGTGTAGAACTAGTTTTGAATTTCGAATTGTCAACTGTTGATGGAAAAATTCAGGTTAAAATGAATATATACTCATATTTGTTTTATGTTAGACTGTTCGTTTGACGTGTTTATTATTTTAATGTAAACGAAATAAAAGTTACATTGTATTCATTGGTGGCTTTACAATCAAAACGAAGTGTACCAGTCTAAAACGTAAACCACATTTTCATAACATTTTAAGTTCTAGTTACTACTACACGCGTATTTGTACAGTATAAGCTGTTTGTTTTTTTTTTCAAAAAGATTGCAAAAAAAAAAAATAAATAACTCTTGGTTATTATTACTCAGCCGTTTGGTATGTTCGCATACGACCTTGTGCAAATCTCGCCATGATAAAGCTCCGTCTAGCTTTTTTAATAATTACCAGCTGTACAGTATTGTACCGCGTCACGTGTCACGAGGGTGTGATTAGAATTTCCGAGAAGAGTTCAAAAGTGGAAGTCAAGTCGATCGTGCCTAAATGTTTCATGGGCAGTGTAGATGATTTGTTCAAAACGAGAGGGCCGTACACTCTCAAAGCAGAAAACGCCTCTATAGACCTGAAGACAAACCGGAAAATCTTCCAGTTGATCGTCTCCAAAATACTGGATGAAACGCTGGGACTACTCGACAAGTTCACCGTCTTAGTAGTGGCGATGGTCGAAAGAAACAAGGAATCGGTGTCACTAGAGTGGGTTTTAGATTATACTGAACTTCACATTTCCAAGCTAAGCAGTTGTTTGGAATTTCTTTTTGACAACGAAGCCGACGTGACCGATGCGTTGACCGGGTAATAAATCACTTGCAATTTAATAACATTTAATCAACTGGTAACTTTGTAATTTCCCTAACGACACATTTTTCCTCCTTTATTGAGCACGCGCTAGCATCCATTTGGTATATGAAAACATGCCAAACAGTAATCAGGTCTTTTCATAATCAACCTAAGCTTCCTTACCTTATATTCCTGCATGCTACCACAGTACATCGAAGTGCTATTAGGGTTACACTAACATAAGGTTTAGTTCGGTTCGACAACGCAGCTGACGTGGCCGATGCAACGTAATGGTTAAAAAATAATTTTATTGATCTTACAATATTGATAACAGTAAGTGCCCATAAAGAAAAAACATTTAAATATTATCATTTACTTCTTATTTTAATCATAAACAGACCATATTTCCCGTGACAATAAATCGATTACAATTTTTAATCGTTTTTAAGACTATCATTTGATTAAACATTATGTCAGTTGTACATCAATGTCGTTGTCGCTTACAGAATCTGGATAGTCAATAACCTTAATTGTGTTATATTTTATTACGCTGTGTTGTTTTTGACATATTATTCTTAATGCACACTTAACTACAAGTCAAAATAATCCATTCAAAAATTGTTTTATGAATATTCGAATAAGAATTATATTGGCCAACAAGTTAGGCTGCACAGAGATTAATTCAACAAGTGTTGTTTTAACGGGGATTTCGAATGACTTGTATTACCATATTATTCACTGAGATGTGTTCATAATGTCAATCCACAGCCTAAGTTGTCTGCATAACAATATTTTTTTTAAATAACACATTCTTCTCCTACAGGTATATTTTCTTCAAAGACATGAAATATATATTCAAAAACATCTACGGGGAGAACTACAGTTACAACAACGTCGTTGATATGTTTTTTCGAATCAAGAAGCAGCAATGGCTGGAGTGCGTGCGACAAGTACCGACCGAGGAAGCGCACCAGCAATTATACACCTATGTGGAACAGTCTTTAGAAGACATTTCCAAAGTCTATCGACACATGGCCGTAAAATCCACCGATTGGTTGTTGCCCGAGTGTTTGAAATGGAGAAATTTCATAGAATCCACCTCGACGACTGCGAACGTCTTAAAACAATTTATAGACGCAGACAAACAGAATTTATACGATCAGTATTTGCAAATCGCGTCTGAATTCGATTCGGTTAAAGTGATGGATTTTTATGTTAAATTTGGAAAAACGCTGGACGGTATCATCAGTCAGATGGCAATCGACATGATGACTTCGTTTATGAATCTAATATTGCGACTCATCATAGACCAGTCAAACAAAGCCAACAACTTTACACAGATCAGCGTCGCGCAGCAAATCGTAGAACATTTTTTACTGTCTGCGCACTATTTTGAAAACTGGATGTCTTACAGTAAACGACTTAAGAATTCTAAATTATTACACGATAGCCCGGCCATTGTAATGCTACAAAAAAGCGTTGTCTATTGTCAGAAATATAATTCGGACGATTTCCCGACCGTATTGGTGCCATTCTTGTTTAAATTCAAGAAAATCATCGAGAAGTATACGCCGGGTGTCGAAATCGACTTTACAAAAATCGCCAGTGATCTAAAACAAGACTTCTTCACACAAAACAACATCTTAGATAAAATGGAGAATAGCTCTAAGCTAATCAAAACGCTGCTCCTCGATATCATGGCATCATCGACCTAAAAATAAGCCTTAAAAAACGTTTTTTATATTAACCAGTATTTTTTAGATATTAATATAATCTATGTGTACGGTATTTTATAATAAAAAAATCAATAACATGTGCTATTAGTGAACTCTGAACAGTTATGGTAAAATGCACCTATAATATTTTTGCAGTTCTCCGTTCTTTTAAAAATAAAATTAGTTTCTTTTGGCTTATTAAACGACTTTTCAATAAGAAAGACACCTATTTTACAATGTAGATGCGACGTTGAACTAAACCTTTTATTATTTTTTTACTATGTAAATATTTCTGATCACCTTAGATACCTGGAATAACATTGCAGAATCAGCTAATATGAGACTGAAACCAACCCCGTAGCACGAAAATATAGGAATCTAAACGTTTCGGTGGCTTATTTATAATTTTAAGGCAATTGTAATGGTTCAAATAAAGGAGAGGTAAGGGGGCTCATCGTAGGGTAAATGGGGAAAGATTATGGAAGCTGAAGGAGCTATCCTACACTCCCCTAACCTCTTCAAAATTAAACCATCACGCTAAATATTATTGTGATGCGTGTGAAAATGTTATTTTGTACGTACCTCGTTTGTAGTGAAGCAACAATGTTGAAGCAGCAGCTTGTAGATTAAATTAATTTATTACTTAGATTTAATAATAAAATACACTTGCGTCTAATTTAAATCTGTCACCTATTTTAGGAACTGATATGATTTTCTAACGCGCGTACTTATAAATGATATATCTATGGCTTGTCTGCTTTTGTTTGTACTTTTTATATCTTTTTAACTTGGTGATCCTCTACCATGCTACGTGATAACTAGTCAGAGGACTACACAAGTTCGTTCAGAAGTTCAGACTAACCAGGCCGCGATATTAAGAAGCAACCGACCTTAAGGGTCGATATTTAACCTCACTCAACAGCCGCTACTCTGGTTGACTTCCCTTAGCTAAACACTAATTAATTAACTATTTAACTACTTAAATTTTCCAATTGCTGACGAGAACATCCAAGTTCCAAGTGAATATTTTAATTCAATGGAATTGGATCCCTAGAGCTGCTTTACGCTTCTCGAGAGAATTAAATGAACCAGGCCAGTCTCTCGGACTATGTTAAGATAATTAAATTAATAGATAAATGAATACAATGTTTTGTTTGTGCATAAGACTTTGAAAATACGCTGAAACAGGCCATAAACGATTAAGTGGACATCATCTGACCACACTCGCCATGCCTTATCAATTAAATAATTTGTAAGTTGCAGACGAGCGTGGCCAGACAACTTGGACCACTGGACTCGCGATGACTACTGCCTACTGGCTAAAAACTGGATCTACTGGCTACTGCAAACCTGTTGCTTGTCTTATATAGGATGGATGTGCGTCATCAGCGGGGGGATGATATGAAAATGTCCCCTCGTATGAAATCATCCATGCGTAAAGTCTGAATCAGCGTATCTTATGTGTCATTTTTATTTAAGATATCCGTTTATATTTTTTATATAAATATTATACTAAAAATAATATATAAATAATTGATAATTGTTTGCGGTATTAGTATTTGTGCACACAATTGATTATAGAATATATAACCTATATTATGTAAAATTACATTATTTAATTGTGTGCGAGTATTTGATTTTTAGTGCATACAATATAATCATTACACAATTTTGCAAAAGTGTGTAAAAAAAGGCATTTGCCTCCTCTTCTTGTTTAAAATAGGATGATGCCCATTGGCTTTGACCATCGGTTGTCCGTCAAACGCTAATTAAGCGGGGAAATATAATTTTTCCCCTACCGTCTACCTCACTTAAATACCGTGAAATAATTATTATCTGACTGCGTTTCTAATTTCGTCTATTTATAATAGTAATCACGAGAATCGTTTGTGGCTGAAACGTTTCAATAGCAGCAATAATGTAAAATGGTCATGGAAACTGGTCTGTTGATATCGTCGACATGTCCAAGCGAAACGCGCGTTGTTTTAATCTTAAGTTGCTAGTTAACTGCGGTTACATACTGGTGTCGATGTGCTTGGGGTCCGAACAAATTCCTGACTCGATTCCTGTGGGCGAACTGACTGATAAACCGAATATCGACGATCGTCCGACAGAGATCACTCCGGATGTTGTAGCAAGTACAGTTATGCTTTCGAGTGACGTTCCTTCGGCGGTGCCACGCAGAATAAGCCACGATTTAGCCGCTTCTGCTTGGACAGTTGTACCGGATTCGGTTAGCACATCCAGCATAGATCCGTCGCCGACTTATACCACTACAACTCGGAGTAACGGTGACTTGTCCGCGAGGTCTACAGCGACAACTACAAACTGTTCCACCGTTAATTCGACACAGTTAAAGTGAGTGTCAGGCCGACGCTTGTGTGGTTGAGCCTTGACAAAATAATTGAGATATGTTATGTTTGGAGAGAAATTAGTAAATTGAATTGGGCAAAAAAAATAAAAATGAAAGAACCGATGTGAGTTTGTAAAATACCGAAAAAGAAAAGAGGTGTCTTATCGCGAATCTAGTCCATCGTTTATGAAATTTAATTTTTCTACAAATCATATCTGATACAGCTGTTAATTTACTCTTAACCACAAAATTCAACTCTTTAATTTCGTATTCTATCCTCTCTAGTCACTCCACTTACTCATCTTAGCATCTTCATTCAGCAAAACTCAAAAATGTTGATTCAATACTTGTTTTTGATCGACAGGGAAAATTTGGACGAAAAACCAGGTGTCCTGGGCCTGCCGTTTCATTTGCCTAGATTTCCCAATATATTAACAGACTACATACCGATAGCTACGTTGGCGGTGCTGTTGTTCGGGTATTCGATATTGATTTGTGTCTATTGTTCGTCGTCGGGCCATTGGCACGAGGAAGACGCCTCAGAAGTACAGTACTCCAAAGACGTTCCAAAGCTCCAAACGTCACAGAATTGTCTTGAAAATGCCAATTATCAAAAGCCATCGACGCGACACACGATGTGACTCGCCCGATCCAACTGACGCCAAAAGGCTAAAAGCTTAAAAGGCTGGCAAAAAAGTTAAAATACAAAATACAGTAGAAAAATATGCTGTTCGACTTTGGGCATACGTTTCGAACATAATAATAAAATATCACATACATATATATATATTTAAGTTATTGTAATAATTTCATATTGTACAATCTAATAATATATTATTTGTCTACTAGTTCCTACTATATATCTTTTATTTTTTATTTTTATGCCGAGTTGGTTTCTCAGTAAGATTGCATGCGGTCTATTTTTAAGGAGTTTTTTATGAGCGATATTTAAGAAAAAAAGAGGTTTTAATAAATTTCAACCATGTAAATTAATCTACCACCGGTTTATTTTTATAAGTTTCAATGTTGTATTTTTATTTTGAATAATTGTTTCTATGAGTAACAGTCATTTTGATTTATTTTATAGGTACTAAAAATCCAGACAAAATTTCAATTACATAGGGCGGTCTATTTTCAATTCTGTAAAGAGTTTCGAGTTCTTTGGTTAATTTACTATGTAATTAAGGAAATTTTTCATTAAAAAATTGCCGTTTCTTGTAGTTAATTAAATTAAATTTGTAATTTTTTCAATATTAAAACCTGATTTTTTACATAAAAAGTCAAAAATCTGTTTCCTACACAACCTAGTAAAGTTGCTAAAGAATTCGTGTATCTTTACAGAACTGAAATCGTACAATCCTAAGTAGTCGATATTTTGTCTGGTTTTTTGGTGTAGGACGTTAAAACAACAGATCGCATGCAACAAAACGGTTTTTCCGTTCTTGTTAAATCGATAAAAAAACAATTGGTTCCATATTTGCTTAAGGAACACCTACATAGGTGGATGCGTTCATTTGAAAGATGTAAAAAAATGAAAATAAAAAAATTGTTTGCTTTAAATCAACACTGATTCAGTACATGTTAGTGTTTTGTACCTTATGACAAATAATTTTGGTAGACCGTCCAAATGACCAATCAACCAACTCAACTTATATAATATGTTCACCTAGTTACCCCTATAGATCACAGTGTTTTACAAGTCGTGCGTGGTTTTTCTTATAAAACCGAATATTTTTTTCCTGCTCAGATTAAGCTAAACGTTATTTGGGTCGAGTTTCCAACTGTAAACGCCGTCATAGGTAACTTTGGTGTTTATTAACTTAAGCGCTAACAGCAAGCAGACACGTGACTCGTAGGGCTTGTATTATTATTTACTACGATTACTTTTATTTGTGCTAAACACGAACATGCCGTACGATTTGTATTGGTACTAAACAACAATATACGTACGATAAAAACATTTAAAAAAAAATATTACAAATAACTGTACATAATTATTATGTACTGTAATCGGACCGATTAAAGCTTACCCGACTAAAATTCAAAAAGCTTTCGTCCAGTGTCTGGTCAATATCGTTTTTTACTAACAAAACTCAAGCCAATTATTATTTGCTTAGAAGAATAGTGTTATTTTTCTGTTAACGTATTCTTTTGCCGTTGCTAAAATAAAGTTTACACAGCGTTTGCGTCATATCATGTGGGCTGTTCAAATACTTTGGTTTTACAATACAATTTCGAGTTTAGTACTTTATTTTACAGTATGGCAATATAGTTCACGGCTATGATAAACAATAAATTGTACAATACCCAGATCAACAACAATCAAGCTAGATAAAATAAATTAAAATGTATAATATTAAGTATTTTAGAGTTACTAGTTATAATGGAGCTAATTCTATTATAGTAATAATATTTGATAAAACAATTTTAAAATATTTAAAAAATATGTATACTTAATGATTATTTTAACGACCTACACCAGTTTTCTTTTAAAATAATTGAAATTTTGTGGTTCTCATTTGTAAGACATATATAAGTTTATACTATATTACAATATTAGATAATGATATTTAAACTTTTATCTTTTCTAGTATTTTATTAAGCTTTATCATTTTTTACCGATCAAACACGGTGTATTAATAGAGGGGGGTATAAAGAGATAAAAGCCTTCCCTTCGTCTTTTTAGAACTGTTAGTAAAGAGATATACTTAAATAAATATTATATCGAGAAATACGGAAAACTCATCTACAAAAAACAAAAAAAAAACATTTTTCCTTCATCCAAGTCAAAAACCATCCATATACCTTAACAACACCTGGCGTACGAGTCCGGGAGACATTTTATCTCTAATCTCTTATCTCAAATTATAGTAAATCATTCAAAGTTTAGTTTCGATGTATTGATATTTTTATGTTTTTATTATAAGTAAAGGGTACCCATTATGTACCACTGGTTTTCCGAGGTAATGATACACTAAAAATACTCATTGCAAAATACATTATATTTCAAGTGTTATTTATTTTCAAAAAAGTGTCACTCCACAACCCTTAACAAGTGCATAAAATAAAATAGTAGTTATAATAATAATATATAGTATTTAATATAATAGTATCTGCATACATGTTTAAAACTTTTAAAACATCAATAACATATGTATTATTGACATTTAACAGAGGTTATCTTTCTAACTTTCGAAATTAATATAATATAAATTCAAATAAATTTAGGCATCCATCAAATTTGGTCCTTCGTGTGATTTAATTTTAGGTCTGCTCCCCACAATTACTTGGTACCCTAAAAATAAAGAAATCATTTTGTAAGGATTAATTTAAAAGTAATATCTTTAGGCCTAATGTGAAACCTTGGTGTTAATACATACAAGTTAGCGGTTATTAGTTCAAGGTAGAGTATGAGGTATTGAGTGATAATGACTAGAAATAATGGTGACGGGTCAAAGTGTGTAGGGCAAAAAACAATATAGTCTATTACACCCGAATGGTACAAAGTGAAAAGTTGTACTTTACCTAAATATTATAGGTTAGGTGTTCTACTAAAGAATTGAGTTTTAAAAATATTTCTAAAAAAATGTCAAAAAAGCTAACAAAAATTATAATTTTTGATAAATAAGATAATAGTACGTTCACCATCATACAGTTGACATAAGAGTATATTATTTTGTGTAATTGTGAATTTACCATTTCTGTTTAATTGTACAATATCGTACACAGGTCTGTACAGAAAAATGTTTTCGTGAGAAAAAAATCGATTGCCAATAATCCTGTGATAAAAGCTTTTGTATTTGTCCAAATTTTCCACGTATTTCCCTACTTTTTCGGCTCTCAATCTTAACGCGTTTATTGTATTGTTGCAATTTTCTTCGGAGTTGATGGTGAAGACTTCCTCCTTATTCGATGCATTCAGCAGGTTAACATGCATAGGAGTGGAGCAACGCCTGAAGATTTGACGGATCCAATTCGGTTTGACCCCCTGTATGTTTTCTTTATCGTTGTATTTGACCAAATTGTCCAGCTCCAGTGCGGTTTGCTTTAAATAATCCAAATCATTTTCCGTATAAAGGCCCAAACGTATGAAACCGACCATCGTGTTCAGTATGAACTCGCCCAAATCGTTGATTCGCTCTCCGAACAACTCTACCCTGGTGGAGACGCCGCCGAATTTGTCGTCACCCGTGTAAAACATATGTTTGACTAAAGACACGTACGAACCGACCAACAACATCAGGGGATGGGCCGTTGCCGCCAGCACTTGCTGTTGGAACGCCTCAACACATTTGACTTCGAAACACCGCTGTGCCATCGAAAACAGTATCTCTATGTCTGGATTTGTGCCGTCTTTCAATTTGGTCACCAACGTGACGTCCCTCAGCAGTTCCAAATCGTCGGGTTCGATGTTGTTTAACCAGTTCACTTGGTCGATATCGAGTTCGGCCCGATACAACATATCGTAGAACAACATTTGTTGCGGATAATATTGCACGTACGTTTGTCTGTTCAAAATTGGCGACATTAAATACTTTACCGCCAAATCGCTATCGCTAAACGTGTCCGCATACAATTCGAGTTGTTTGAGAGTGTTGTCATATGCATAACTATATCGATCATACAACAATGCATTTAAACGTTCGTGACCTTGACTTTGAGTTTTCGAGTCTCGCGATATTATGTTATAATATGAAGATTCCGGGGTCAACCCGGTGCAATTTTCACCGATGCTCTGTCTTAACTTAGCTTTTATATGTGTTCTAGCCTTTTGGAATTCATTTTTGTAAACATCTACCTCATTGTACTGGCTATCCTTTGGTTCGTACACTTCCAAGAAGGTTCGTACCAGTAATGTATTGGAAACATTGTTCAGGTATATATTGATAGCCATTATGGCCTCAGGCAGGGTGAAAGATTTTTGGTCGTTTTCCGTCATCAGGTCGTCGAGCATCGCCAAGACAGTCTGGCCCTGAGCTCGTAACGATTCGTCATATTTATCGAGTTCTTTAAAAGTCGACGGATCTTTTTTGTTGAATTTCGAATGAAAATAATCTTCATGGTATTCGAATACAAAATACATGTACCTGAAATAAAAACATATTATGTTTCATGATTTCCGTTTTAACAAATGTTCAAGCTGTTGAGTAGTATCATGATAATATATTGAATATGGAAAATCGTGACGCTTAGCGTGAAACGATAATGATATTATATAAAGGGAAGCGGTCGTTAATGACGGAGCGTGTCGTGTGGTATGAAGAGAATGTACTGTTAATCAAATAGAAGTATATTTTTCTATACATCTCAAATCATTTTTTGTATTTGTAATTTGAAATTTTAGGAAAATAATATTCCATGTAAATCAAGTTGGGAGGGCGGTCATTGTACAAAAACATTATGGAAAAAAATTAAATTATCAGATAAGCCCAGTGAAATATTGGGTGGTTCACGATAATTTGAACACTCTGTATTGTAAAATCAACATCAAAACATGTTATAACTTCGAGAATATTCAACATAAACAACACCAAATTGTAACACAGCGATATTTGATTTATTCGTTTTGTATACCAATAACAACAGACAAAAAATGTAATACCACGTTAAGCAAAAATGAATTATGTTGTTTTGCCATTTATTTGTTTTCAATGAGTGTTAACCATATGTAGACAACAATGTTAGACAACAACAGACAGTTTTTTACTTTAATGCTATAGCTGAAAGGGAATAGGATTAAAATAGGTTTTTTTTAGGGGGTCTTACATTGACATGATAACCCGTGGAACAATTTATATGTTTTTATGGTAAAATGTTTACGATTGGTATTTCGGTGTTTAAAGTGTCTTCCTTGTATTATTATTTACAATGACTACTTTTATTTGTGTTAAGCACGAACATGCCATAAGATTTCTGTTGATACTAAACACCAATCATCGACACATTAGAACAAATGTTCGCTTTTTGACAATAAAACTACTTTAGATAAACATATTAAAACGGATATTACAAATAACTCTGCATAGTACGTTAAACAAAAACAAACCGTAACAAACGATACCAAGTTTTATTTTTTTTTGCTTCGGAACGTACTTGCCTGTTAAGAATGTTTTTTTACAATTTATTTGTTTTGAATGAGTATTTTGTAATGTCATAGAATACACCCATTAAAATATGAACAACAATGTTGGACAATTAATAACTTTAATGTAAGAGCTGAAAAGGAATAGGATTTATAATTTTTATTTTAAAGGGTTTGCAGAACGTCACGACTATCTTTTTGCCGTTGAACAATTTGAACGAGTAGTATCTGTTTGATCTCCAAAAGTATGAGATTAGTACTTCGGTGTTCAAAACACTAATAGAATTAAAATCATATGTACAACCAAAGTTATTGTAAAATCTCAATGCATTATACTCTGTGCAAATGTCAAGTGCTTGTTTTTTTAAATTAATAATTTGTATGTTTGTTAGCATACCGATTTTTAATACAATAATACATCATTATAAGTTGATCAGGCTTTGTTTTCGTAACGAATTCGCATATATTTTAATTTCTTCCATAACTATGAACGAATTTTAATTGCAAATGGTAAATTTCACATAAAAATATTATATTATATTTTAATGGAATATAAAACTCGTGTACCTGACATAATAGCAAAGTTTCTTGTTTTCCGTTCGGGCAAATGAAATGAAAAAAACAAATAAACCCTTAATATATTGAATTAATATTAAAGTAAAGCCTGGTACTGTATCAAAAAAGATAGTATGATACCATACACCGCATTATTGGTTGTATCCAAAAAGATATATAACCTCTTCTTTTATTTTTATAATTTACCAAAAAAGATATTACAATGCCCTCATAGTAAAAATCTACCGGAGAAATCTACCTATGTTCGTTTACTTACTGTCTGAATGATAAACTAGAAAATTTAGTTTACAAACATTTTCAAAAAATAAAATGTCAACAAATGTGAGAAAAGTTATTATTTTCGAAAAATAAGATAAAAAGTATGTTCATCAACAGAGTACATTCGACATAACAGTATCCGATTATGTACGTTAAAATATATTTTATCAATATTTAAATAAAGCCAATAAATTATTTATTTATTTATACATAAAATATAATGTATCCTAGAAGATACTATGATTCGCTCACCGCAATTATTGGTAGTATCCTAAAAGATACATTACCCTAATAGTAAAATTCTTAAAATTGTATAAAAATCATATACATATTTTTTTTTGTACTATTAGGAATTTACTACTATATTACGGTAAATAAAATAACCATTTTTAAACTTTGCTAACTTCTTCTATACTGTATAATTGGGTTGGACTGTACTGGTTTAGACTGTGCTTGGTTTGGACGGTGTAGGAAAAGACTTGTCCCTGTACTTGGATTGGAGTAAGATTTAGCCTCAGTTAAATAAGAAGCCCTTAAATCTAGAAACTACTCCATTAGTAAATCGAAATAAATAACAAATTTCAACCGTCCTAGAGGAAGGGCTAACCAGTGTTTTATTTGATGTGTACGTTTTACTTTGAAAAAGTATACAAGACAGTTGGAACACACAATAATCGACGAAAACACGTTGTTATTGTACTTTAAGTTTGTACACTTTTTGCTACTCGGCGAACGGTTGGTCTGTATATTTAAGAACGATGTGTTTTTCATATAAAATTGTTTTGCATCGAACCGAGCCAAACGCCCATGGTTCATGGTTTTTATTTACTCTACAACACTTGGATTCTCTCAAATGCCTATGTTTTTTTTTTACTATATTTTACTTCGATTGAATCAATATTGTACCGTCCCGAGAGTAATGCATTCGTAAGTTGGAATATAATACTGTAATATTCCGATATACAAAATTCCGGTCTAGTCGTTTTGTAGACGTGTAAATTCACCTTATCCCGTTCGGCAATCTTCCATGATGATTTTTGGAGTGATCAGACTGTTGATTTGTGTGCTTTTTGTTGCCCTGGTCTGTAGCAACGGCTACGACGGTTTGGACAGAAAACCAGTGCGTTTAAGTTCGATCGATTTAGTAAAGATGGTGCCCGAACCACTGACGGCCATCATCGACGCCCATCTCAGCGACAATTTATACTGCATCGATGGACTGGTGAAATGTCGGACAGACAAACTCGAACATCTCGCCCGCCAATGTATATTCGATTTGATCAAGACCAAACTATCCGAGGAGTTGACGACCCATTTGAAGCTCTACATAAATTACTTGTTGGACGAACGGCAATTACTGAAGGAATCGAACGATGCAATTATTGTAAAAACACTGGACACCGTCCAGCAAAACGTCGTGGTGCTGTCCGGCTTATTGGCATTCCTGTACGACCACAAAGCCGAAATTACCGAATTGATGGACACGTACGTTGCACTATAGTAATTTTATTTATTGGGTCGGAGACACCAGGGGAGGCAGGGAGCTCACAGGTCTCCAGGAATTATTATAACTGAAAACATAGAATTAATTTAATAAACTATAGATAAACAATGCACATGGAACGACTGGAAGCTCTTTTTATGGTTAGTTTTTCTGTCAATAAGGTATAGAATTTATTTCAAACATATGCTTGACGGTTGATCACATAAGTTTTATTCTGCCTTTAGCTATGGCAAACGTTTCCACCACCCTTCCCGCCGTTCAGAGCTTCCAGTGTCCCAAATCCCCACTAAAATATTTGTGTTTTATGTGTTTCTTATTATAACATGGCCATTGTTTATTCATAGTTTATTTTATCTATACTGAAAATAATAGAATAACTTTTAAATAAACGCTTCGATGCGAATCTGTAACAGTCCCTTTACTAACATACTCAAAATCACACTCGACCTCTCCTGGTAATTTTTTTAGTGGGTTAAACACCCCTAAAATCGGTTTTTTCAAAATTCTTGAAAAATATTACTACCACGAAAGTTGTTCTTCGCATAATTCACTATATTATTGCTTCTTATACATTATTATGTAAGTGCAAAGTTAGTTCAGAAACGTACTTCTAGACTCCATTCAATGTGATATTTAAATGTTATTAAATAGTCCCATTCTAGACCTAACTTCGGACTAAAGTTCAAACCTAAATCTTTAAAACTTTGCTTGAAAAAGTGAAATAAAGAAAAAATGTCTGCAAAAAGGTTATGTAACACCGTAGTTTTAAGTTTAATAATATGTAGATCTCTTTATTTTTAAGGAAAAAGGGTGCATTTTTTTCACTTTTGGCCCAATAAAGTTCTTTTCAGATATGATTTCAAATGTATAAAGTTGCGACACGAATTCAACAGTTCAGCGGTTTAAAATTTATTGTGGGTACGGACACAAAAATAAACCCTTTTTTTAAATTTTTCTTCGACATAACCCATCAATGAATAGTAGCCAATTAAAATAAATTAATTGGTTTTAAATACTTCCTCGTGGTTTTGTTTGATTGACATAGGCAATTTTAAATTTTCATTAAACAAATTCCAAATTAAAAATCAACCAAAAATAATATAACATTTTCGGTTTAAAAAATAGTCTTAAAGATAAAATTTGACACATTTTATTAAACCCCTTCGCTTGTTGATTTATCTCAAATAAATGTTATATCACAGGACTGATCTACACTGTACTTGTTGTCAACTACTCTTGTTTTTTGACTGTGCTCGGTTTTGACCGTACCAGTATAAACCCGCGTATCTAGAATAGTAATACATTTTTTTTCTTTCTATTAGATATTTACTGCTGAGCGACATCACGACAGTGTACCGACGATCATCCAGTAAGGGGAATTTCGTCGAAGCGTTAAAAGCCAAATCGTACGAACCGTCGGAGAGCATACCCGCTGCCGGAGTTCACCGAATGTTGTTCGAGAAGTATAATAACAATTTTTCCCCATTTACCCTTACCTATTATTATATGCATCAGAAATTTTGGATGACGTCCAAAACGCTAAAATGGAAACAACTGATGGAGTCCACGACGGATGCGGCCGAACTCGTCAAGCAAAAGGTACCCGTGGGCATCAGCGAGTTGACATTGAAACAGTGGTACGACCAGGTGATCGTCGCCTCAACCGATTCGGTGGAAGTGTTCAGATTTTACACACAATTGTCGGACGCGGTAACCGACATGATCATTGACGCCACAACCGTAATCGTTGGTGGTTTCATCAAACTGCTGAGACTGCTCGTTTCGACCGTAAGTCAAAGCCCGAGCCAAATCCTGGAACATGTCGCTGCGGCGTTTTTCAAAGCCAAGGACTTAAGCAAGGCGGCAGCAACGTTTGTGCGGTACTCGTCCGACTATTTTCACCTGATCAGACCGAAAGAGAAGTTGGGAAAACCGTTTTGTGTTTTGAAAGAGGCTCTAGCGATTGGGACGACCGAACCCAATCGACTGACCCCCGAACGAATGTGGCAGATGGCAGACAACTTGGAAGAAAAGGCCAATAACATTTTGCAAATCCATTCGGACCCGTCGGAGAAACGCACCTTCACAGATATACTCGACGACATGCAAAAGGCATCTGTCCATACCCAAGCGGTAATGAAAATAATCAAGCCTGTTGAACTATAATGATTGTATTGCATTGTATTAAAAAAATATAGCTTTACTGTTTTACTTGCCAAAATAAGTGTGTGTGTGTGTGTGTATTAAATGCATTGTTTAACCTTATGAGACAATGAGTAGTTCAAGATAAAAAAATTCCCCTGTATTGTTTAGTGATTTTACATATTTTAAATACAAAAATAATTGTTGTGTTTCCTTTTCATTTGTTAACTGTTTTTTTTTTCAAACAAACTATGGCGTAATTAATAACCACTTACCGTTATTACAACAATAATATACCTATGCCTAGTTTTAGTTTTATGGCTGTGGTCAGCCTAATAAGGATGTCGTACTTTGCATGTACATACATTAACCGAGGTGTGTTATGACCTAACTAGCGGTTTCACCGGTTTAAAAAATGTGGTGACGTTTAAATTATATTATTCAAGAGTAACAGGGCCTAACTCATATCTTGTAAGCTATTGAAAACCAAAGAGGTATAAAATCAAGAACGAGTTTAATGACATGGAAAAAACGTATGATAACTGGCCCTAAGCTGCAAACAAAATTTCAATTGTTTTCAATAATTTTTTAATATATTACTAATGATGCTTCCACACGAAATTTAGTGTTCTTCAAATTTTACTTCAAAATAGTATTGTTTAAATATTGGAAATGTGTTTTGAAAAGTTTATACAAAATCACATATTTAAAACATTAGACTTAATAATATTGAAAGCATGTTAGACTAACATATTGAAAAAAATTCAATTTATTTGACGTTTGGGGTTTTATCAAATGTTCTGATCAATTCGAAGGTTGTGTGTTTTTTTATTTCTTAAGAGGTACATTATTTAACTAAAAGTGCTAAGAGTGTGTTCAATTCATAGGAGGATAAAACGTATCATCGGCCGTTCTCACCAGTTTGCCTTAAAATTGAGAGAATGCTAATAGAAATAATGAAAAAATATATTCAACTCAATTAGTATAATTTGCACATGATATATATATATATATATATATATTATGTTTTTATAACTAATAAAGTTATTATTTGTTTAGAATTATTCTATAACTGTAATAGAATACATACATACGTGTTATTATAAACTTATTATTCAAGTCGCATTTCATTGCAGATGGATGATATCTCCAATATAATCGCCCTCATGTCTTTTAAGATTTTTTCCAGTTTTTCGGTCGTTTGAGTTTTGACAACGGTAATGCCGAGCTGCTCCTCTGCTGGGTCCGGCGAATTCACGGGTTTTACGAAGTGCGGGTTTACAGATATCATGAACCTGGTTAAATCTCGTTCCAACACATTTTTTTCCAGTAAGTCTAAGCCACGTTTAATGACAAGGTCGAGACCCACGATGACGTTGAACAATAATTGCGCTGGACATTCCAAATGAAGCGTGGTTGTCATAAAGCTTTCGAAGGATTTTAAGACGTGCAACAGTTCTGATAAGACTACGATTGCGGCGTTCAAACGGCGGTGTCTGATTGCATCGTTTGGCGAACCTCTGTCCATCATTGCCAGCAAGTAGTCGAACAACAGCGGAATAACATCTGAAGCCTTTTTAGCTAACAGAACGGTAACCGTTTCGGCGACTTCCGCGTAAAAGGCTATGACTTTGGTCGAGTCCACCTCGGCGGCCGTTTCGTCGTATCTCTGGCGAAGACTTTTGCCGTTCACCGAGAACACCAAGTGCTGAACGGTAACCGCCCAGATCGATTGGGATTTCATCAGGGTCTTCCACTTGAGTCTGTCCGTGTTCAACCAGCCACAGCCAAAACATGCATTATAGAACGTTGTATAGCTGATGATTTTCGTTTTCGCTTCGACCATCATACCTAAGTAAGTTTTTGGCGGTACGTCCTCGCCACCGACCGGAAGCCATTCGATGTTTGTCTTCTTCTTGATCAAGTCCAAAACTTTTTCTTGAAAATCGTCTCCATACTTGTCGGTTTCGTACTCGGCTTGGTATACGAACATGATGTCCCTGAGAAACAGGTACCTGTCAAATCAAACATTCGCAAGGACGTTAGTAAATGGGAGTTGCCACGGCCAGAGGATACACCATACATAAAATACTAGACCAACTCTGTCCAACAGAATTTTCTACGGCTGATGTTTGCCTTTACAAATAAATAGAAAATTCACATGGGCAGAGTTCTAGGAGCGTTTTTGTTAAGGCCAACATCAGCTGTTGGGACGCAGAGTGTTGTTGAGAACAAGGGTACAAAAAGTTCTACCGGGTTAACTGCCCATCGATAAGGTGGCGTGCAGTCCTACATTAGAATTCTCGGAGAAACTTCATGAGGCTTTTCAAAGAAAGATGTACGCTTCAAATTTCGGTTTGGATAATAAAGACAATGGGTTTATCTTAGAGTTAACAGACTTTAAGTAAATACCTGTCTAGGGCTTGAGTGACGTTGACTCCGTTGTCGTACAGATGTTCCAGGCAAGTGTTTAATCTCAACACCATCAACTGGATGACGCTCAGAAGATCTTCCAAAGAAATAAAGTTTTCTCTTAGCCGGATCATCTGGATTACCATGCCAGTGAACAAATCCAGCATATTCGTCACTTCTTCAGCAACTTGTTCAAATATCATGTGTACCACGCGACGACGGTTGTCCCTGTGTTTGATTTTGCATACGTGTACTCCTTTGATACATATATTGTTATCCCTTAACTTCGTCTCTACGGTTCCCATCAGGAAGTTTGGCATTTGCAACCAGACGTCCTTGTCTTCGTCCACCTTGACCGGACGGCGCATAATTTGGCACGAACCGTCGGAAAAAACCAATAGACCGGCTAATATTATGGAGAATAAAATAAACAATTGTATAAACGACTTCATATTTTTTGCTTTTAGCAAGTCGACTTATAGTACGTATCGATACTACTGTGTAGTAGACGCAGCAAAAACAAAATCTTAACATTCAAGGTTGTTTTTTCAAGTGTAACATATATAAACAAATATCTGAGTAAACAAATTTTGACGAATAAGGTCGCAAAAAAAAACATTTTTTTGTAGTACATTGAAACATAATAATATTGTAACCACACAAAGTGTACCTCATCTTTTATTTTTTCATAACGCCCGTGAACAGAAAACCATAATATAATTTTAAAAATAAATATACGCACCTACAAATTGGTTCCACGAGAATTCTCCTAACCCAGACGCCTTGACTTAAATTGAATTCAAAAATAAACGTTGCTTGTTAATATTGCATTTTTACAAGACAAAACAATCGTGATCATCAGCTATCGCTTTTTTTTTAAATCAGAATTTCAAAAGTCACCCCTTACTTTTTTAAATACTGACCGGGAGAATTGTTTTTAATTTTCTCAATACAGGATTAAAAATAATAATATTCATAATATTTCGATAGTGGTTCTTAGAGTTCTTTGTGTTCTGATAATGACATTTAACTCGAAAGATGCATGTTATGTTTTTTTATTTCCAAAGAGGTACACTATTTTTCCTAATTGTGCTAAGAGCATGTACAATTCAGAGAAGGATTAACGTAAAAATGGCCGTTCTCGACAGTTTGGCTTTAAGTAGAGAAAATGGTCTAGAAAATATTCAACTCAATTCAAATAATTCGTATATTAAATTATATATAAATGTATATTTTTTAAAACCAATAATATTATTTTTTTACAATTATTTTATAATTGTAAACCAATAATATTATTTTTTTACAATTATTCTATAATTGTAAAAAGATACATACATATCTGCACTAGAGAGGCAAAAGCTGTTATCTGAAAATAGTGTACTTTTCAGGAGAAGCATTTCAATTTTTTTTTTGTTTGCGTATTTTACTAAAATCTTTATTGTCATTTTAGTTTTAAGGTTAGACTACTTTTGATTGCTGGACTAAAAACGTCATATAACACTGAATATTTTGTAACTGGTTATATTCATTTATTCATTTTAATAATTTGAAATAAAATAGTATTAACTTTATCGAATGTTCTTATCAATTATTGCCACAAATAAAATAATTATGGAAGTAAATATCATATGTTCACATATCACAATTTTTTCAATTTTCTTTTTTAATACCAATCATTTACTGAACTATTGATTTTGTCAATAAAGTTGTAAAATAAACTTATATAATATTTTATTGTTATTATTTTAGATTCTGAGCGCAGCGTGCAATATTAATATAATTAAATGCACTCAGGATTTGAATAATAACAGTATCACATCATTGTATTACTATAGGTGTAACAAAAGAATTATTATACAAAAAATAATACTGTAATTAAAAAAAATTTAATTTTCCTCAGATGACTTTTCATCTGATTGTTGTATTATAACAGCTCTACGGTTGGTCTTCAAATTATTGTAGAATTGATGATATATGGGATCTATTAATGGAAGTAAAGAAATAAGTTCCTTTTTCTTTTCAGGGTCAACAGGTAAAGGTCCTGAGTATGTTTGTGGAAATTGTATGTTGGCTACTGCACCTGTCAATAATTCAGCTCTATTTCTAGTAATTTTTGGTCCTTTTCTTAAGTCCAGAATACAAAATGACGCTTCTTTATTTAATGTATACTTAAATTTAATAACTCCAAAGGTTTTTTCATACCTCATCCATGTCATTTTTAACCAATTGGCTTTTTCTTTATCAGTATCAACAGTCCTTTTTACTAATGGTCCAGATAAAAATATAGAAAATGATTTGAAATCTATTTGTTCCATTTCTATGACCTTCAGGGGTATTTTGCCTCTCACATTTCTAACAAAATTGTACCAGTCTATAGGTATTGATATAGTTGACTCAGATTATTTTTTACAACGTTTGATTCTTGAATGATCGCTATCATATTTAAGATGTGTATGTCCCGGAACCAAAAACTTCTGGTCCATAGTTTGAAGAGAAGAATGATTCTGAAGATCTAACATAAACATCAGTGCGACGTTCATATTACGGTTTTGGCCGGAACAAGTGTCAGAATAAGTTATAAGGTGGGTGATGTTGGTATCGATATTACTGTTTATGAATTTATGTAAAATAGAAGCTATTTGGTTTGATCCTCTTCCTGCTATGGCTTCGTGTCACATATAACAGTGAGATTAATTTTGGCCTAGTCTCTAATTGTTTCATTGTATGTCCAGAGTTGGCGCTTGTAGAACACGACATCGGTTTTTAGGTCAGGTGTTGGCAAACACTGTTGCATGTCAAAAACAATAAATTTTAAAGATGAAGTAGTTGCTAATAATTGTTTGCCTTCTTTTTTCGAATTATATCATCGCAGGTTTTACAAGTATCTTTTCGTTGGGGCAGTCGATATAATAAAAATAACAATAATAATAATAATAATAATAATATTATTTGGAATTAAATGAAAAGTGGTAAAACATGATATGTGCCATTTTTAGAAATTATCAAGTAATGACCATTATAATTATTTGTGACAAATCCTGTTAAGTGATTTATCATATTTTACCGCAATAACGTTCGGGCAAATGAATTGAGGAAAATAAATAAAACCAAACTCTTGTACAATATCATTGTAATATAGTACTCTTTAGTAATATTGTGAAATTAACAGCAAAACCGGTTGTAACTTTGAAAACATTCAACATAAACTATATCTACACATATTGCAGTGATAATAGTTTTTTCCAATTTGTTTACCAACATCAACAAACAAAAAATACGATACCCCGTTAAACAAAAATGTATTTTTGCAATTTGTTTTGCATGAGTATTAACCATTTTTAGACAACAATGTTACACCAACAACAGACAGTTTTTTACTTTAAATGCCATATCTGAGAAGGAATAGGATTTATATATATATCTTTTTTTTTTTTATGGGGTCTTACATTGACACGATAACCTGTGTACCAATTATATGAGTAGCATCTGTTTTGCTGTTCAAATGTATGCGATTAGTACTTAAGTATTCGGTGTTCGGACAAAAATTGTACGGCTAAAATGTTTACAAAAAATAATTATGAACTCGGCAGAATATAGGTTATTCGTATAGCATAGTGCTGTTGATAGACGTTTATCATTGATATACAAATTATTAATTCAGCCTGTAATCATAAAGCAGTAAACGGTATTATGAATTTAGTTCTAGAGATTCATAAAAAATATTATGTAAACAATTTTTTTTTTTTGCGAATATCGTAATACAGCTTTTATTGAAAAACGGAAACGTCCTACTTTTTATGAACTTTGGAGATATCCATGTATTTATTGTTAACAATAAATTAAACTTGTTTTCGCTTCATATATGGGCCAAATATAATATAAATATGTTATTTCTTATATCATATTATTTTTCTTGACTATTTTTCAACGCACTTTATATTATACAGTCTAAACCCTTAATAAAATATTTTATTCAGCTGTTGGAATCCTATTATGTACGTTAAAATATATTTTATCAGTACTTAAATAAAGTCAATAAATATATTGAAGTATAAAATGTAATGTATCCTAGAAGATACTATGATTCGCTCACCGCAATTATTGGTTGTATCCAAAAAGATACATAACCCTAATGGTAAAATTCATAAAATTGTATAAACAATCATATATAATATATATATATATATATATATTTTTTTTTTTGTTCTATTAGGAATTTAATACTTTATTACGGTAAATAAAATAACCATTTTTAAACTTTGCTAATTTCTTCTATACGGTATGATTGGGTTGGACTGTACTGGTTTAGTCGTTTAGACTGTGCTTGGTTTGGAGGTGCTTATCCCTGTACTTGGATTGGAGTAAGATTTAGCCTCAGTTAAATAAGAAACCCTTAAATCTAGAAACTACTCAATTAATAAATCGAAATAAAAATCAAATCTCAACCGTCCTAGAGGAAGGGCTAACCAGTGTTTTATTTGATGTGTACGTTTTACTTTGAAAAAGTATACAAGACAATTGGAACACACAATAATCGACGAAAACACGTTGTTATTGTACTTTAAGTTTGTACACGTTTTACTACTCGGCGAACGGTTGGTCTGTATATTTATAAACAATGTGTTTTTCATATAAAATTGTTTTGCATCGAACCAAACCAAACGTCCATGAATCATAGTTTTTATTTACTCTACAACACTTGGATTCTCTCAAAGGCCTATGTTTTTTTTTACTATATTTTACTTCGATTGAATCAATATTGTACCGTCCCGAGAGTAATGCATTCGTATGTGAGAACATAATACTGTAATATTCCGATGTACAAATTTCCGGTCTAGTCGTTTTGAAAACGTGTAAATTATTTTCGATTCACCTTATCCCGTTCGGCAATCTTCCATGATGATTTTTGGAGTGATCAGACTGTTGATTTGTGTGCTTTTTGTTGCCCTGGTCTGTAGCAACGGCTACGACGGTTTGGACAGAAAACCAGTGCGTTTAAGTTCGATCGATTTAGTAAAGATGGTGCCCGAACCACTGACGGCCATCATCGACGCCCATCTCAGAGACCATTTATACTGCACCGAAGGACTGGTGAAATGTCGGTCAAATAAAATTGAACCTATCCACCGCCGATGTATATTCGACTTGATCAAGACCAAACTTACCGAGGAGTTGACGACCCATTTGAAGCTCTACATAAATTATTTGTTGGACGAACGGCAAATACTGAAGGAACCGAACGATGCAAATATTGTAAAAACGCTGGACACCGTCCAGCGCCATGTCGTGGTGCTGTCAGGCTTTTTGGCATTCCTGTACAACCACGGAGCTGAAATTACCGAATTGATGGACACGTACGTTGCACTATAGTAATTTTATTTATTGGATCGGGACACGAGGGCGAGAGGCGGGGAGCTCACAGGTCTCACAGGAATTATTATAACTGAAAGCATAGAATTAATTTAATAAACTATAGATAAACAATGCACATGGAACGACTGAAGGCTCTTTTTGTAGTTAGTTTTTCTGTCAATAATGCTCAGAATTAATTTCAAACATATGCTTGCCGGTGGATCACATATATTTTATTCTGTTTTTAGCTAGGCACACGTTTCCACCACCCTTCCCGCCGTTCAGAGCTTCCAGTGTCCCAAATCCCCACTAAAATATTTGTGTTGAATGCTTTTCTTATCATGTCATGGCCGTTGTTTATCTATAGTATATTTTATATATGCTGAAAATAATAGAATCACTTTTAAATAAACGCTTCGATGCGAATCTGTAACCAGTCCCTTTACTAACATACTCAAAATTCCACTCAACCTCTCCTGCTAATTTGTTTAGGGGGTTAAACACCCCTAAAATCGGGTTTTTCAAAATTCGCGAAAAATATTATTATCACGAAAGTTGTTCTTCGCATAATTCACTTTTTTTTTGCTTCTTATACATTATTATGTAAGTGCAAAGTTAGTTCGGAAACGTACTTCTAGACTTCATTCAATGTGATATTTAAATGTTATTGTATAGTGCCAATCTAAACCTAACTTCAGACTAAAGTTCAAACCTAAATCTCTAAAATTTTGCTTGAAAAAATGAAATAAAGAGAAATGTCCATCCCTTCTAGCGGAAAGGGCTTATGATATTTTTTTGGTTTATCAATGTTTATCAGTAGTATCACCGTGTATAAAGAATATTCTATACACATTTAAAACTAATTGGACTCGCTATGTAAAGTTTATATAGCACCGTTGTTTTAAAATTAAAAATATGTATATCTTCCTGCTTTTAAGGAAAAAAGATGCATTCTTTAAATTTTTGGCACAATGAAGTTCTTTTCAGATACGATTTAAGATCTATAAAGTTGCGACAAGAAGAAATTGGTTCAGCGGTTTAGAATTTATTGTGGGTACGGACACAAAAATAAGAAACAAACTCAAAAAAATTAAACCATTTTAAATACAATACCTTTTCAGCTCCGCATCAAGTCATCATCTGGATGCAAACAGTCCATAAACAGATAGAAAAATGTCAACCACTCAAATTTTGTGGTGACTTACAATAATTGATGTATATTATGTTAAACCCTTTTTTTTATTTTTCTTTGACATAACCTCTCAATGACTAGTAGACAATTCAAATAAAGCCAATACTTCTCGGAGATTGACATAGGCAGTGAATTCACTAACAAATTCAAACTTAAAAATCAACCAAAAAATATAACATTTTCGGTTTAAAAAATATTCTTAAAGATAAAATATGACACATTTGATTGATCCCTATTACTTGTACAGTAATTGCACTAATGTTCAAAATATCATCGGTTTTTTTTTTTAGATTTTCCAATCACTTTTAATACTAGATCGATGACTTCCGGGGCTGCTCTCTAGATTAAATATTTTTGTTTGGTTGAGATTTTGGACGGGGCTGGGGGGGAGAGAGGTACTAGTTGAAAAAGTTATATCACAGGATTGATCTATACTGTACTTGTTGTCAACTGCTCTTGTTTTTTGAATGTGCTCGGTTTGGACCGTACCAGTATAAACCCGCGTATCTAGAATAGTAATACATTTTTTTTTCTTTCTATTAGATATTTACTGCTGAGCGACATCACGACAGTGTACCACCGATCATCCAGTAAGGAGAATTTCGTCGAAGCGTTAAAAGCCAAATCGTACGAACCGTCGGAGACTATACCCACGGCCGGAGTCCACCGAAGGTTGTTCGAGAAGTATGATAACAATTTTTCCCCATTTACCCTTACCTATTATTATATACATCAGAAATTTTGGATGACGCCCAAAACGCTAAAATGGAAACAACTGATGGAGTCCACGACGGATGCGGCTGAACTGGTCAAGCAAAAGGTGGCCGTGGGCATCAGCGAGTTGACATTCAAACAGTGGTACGACCAGGTGATCGTCGCCTCAACCGATTCGGTGGAAGTGTTTAGATTTTACACACAAGTATCGGACGCGGTAACCAACATAATCTTAGACGCTACCACGGTAATCATTGGTGGTTTCATCCAACTGTTGAGACTGCTCGCTTCGAACGTAGGTCTTAGTCCGAGCCAAATCCGGGAACATGTCGCTTCGGCGTTTTACAAAGTCAAGGACTTAAGCAAGGCGGCAGCAACGTTTGTGCGGTACTCGTCCGACTATTATCACCTGATCAGACCGATAGAAGAGTTGGAAAACCCGTTTAATGTTTTGAAATACGCTCTAGCGATTGGATTGACCAAACCCAATCGACTGACCCCCGAACGAATGTGGCCGATGGCAGCCAACTTGGAAAAAAAGGCCAATAACATTTTGCAAATCCATTCGGACCCGTCGGAGAAACGCACCGTTACAGATATACTCGACGACATGCAAAAGGCATCTGTCCATACCCAAGCGGTAATCAAAATAATCAAGCCTGTTGAACTATAATGATTGTATTGCATTGTCTTGAAAAAATATAGCTTTACTGTTTTACCTGCCAAAATAAGTGTGTGTGTGTGTGTATTAAATGCATTGTTTAACCTTATGAGACGTTGAGTAGTTCAAGATAAAAAAATTCCCCTGTATTGTTTAGTAATTTTACATATTTTAAGTACAAAAACAATTGTTGTGTTTCCTTTTCATTTGTTAATTTTTTTTTTCAAACAAACTATGGCGTAATCATCGTATTACCTATTTAAACGTAGATATGCAAAAGGCATCTGTCCATACCCAAGCGGTAATCAAAATAATCAAGCCTGTTGAACTATAATGATTGTATTGCATTGTCTTGAAAAAATATAGCTTTACTGTTTTACCTGCCAAAATAAGTGTGTGTGTGTGTGTGTATATTAAATGTATTGTTAAACCTTATGAGACATTGAGTAGTTCAAGATAAAAAAAACCCCTTTGTATTTTTTAATAATTTTACATATTTTAAATACAAAAATAATTTATGTGTTTCCTTTTCATTTTTTAATTGTTTTTTTTTTTTTTACAAACAAACTTACTTTACAAACAAGCGATTTAATAACCACTTACTGTTATTATAATAATAATATACCTATGCCTTGTTGTTGTTTTATGGCTGTGGTCAGCCTAATAAGGATGTCATACTTTGCATGTACATACATTAACTGAGCTTTGTAATGACCTAACTGGCGATTCCACTGTGCTTAACCCGGTTAAAAACATGTGCTGACATTTAAATTATATCATTCAAGAGTAACAGACCGTAAGCTGCAAACAAAATTTCAATAATTTTTTAATACATTACTAATGATGCTTCCACACGAAATTTAGTGTTCTTCAAATTTTATTTCAAAATAGTATTGTTTAAATATTGAAAATGTGTTTTGAAAAGTTTATACAAAATCACATATTTGAAACATTAGACTTAATAATATTGAAAGCATGTTAGACTAACATATTGAAAAAAATTCAATTTATTTGACGTTTGGGGTTTTATCAAATGTTCTGACCAATTCGAAGATTGTGTGTTATTTTATTTCTTAAGAGGTACATTATTTAACTAAAAGTGCTAAGAGTGTGTTCAATTCATAGGAGGATAAAACGTATCATCGGCCGTTCTCACTAGTTTGCCTTAAAATTGAGAGAATGCAAATAAAAATAATGAAAAAATATATTCAACTCAATTAGTATAATTTGCACATTATAATATATATAAATATATGTTTTTAGTAATGGTGGGACTAATCGAATTTTTTATTCGAATATTCGATCTGATTTTCGAATATTCGAATACTTTATCATTTTCTTTGCAGGGTTAATGAGTTAAAAAAAAAAAATAATTAAGAGACAACTAAGGTGTCCTTGATCTATTTTTAATAATTTTTTAACAAAATAAATATAATTACAAAGAATTATTCTTTTGACAAAATAAATATTATTACTTATTACAACAAAAAAGATTTTAACAATTTATATAGATATATAATTACAAAAAAACATAAATTTGAAAAAAAAATAATATCGAAAATTTGAATATTTGAATTATTTGATTACTATTCGAATATTCGAATTATTTTCATACTAATAGTATTATTCGAATAATTCGAATAATAGAGAAATTCGATTCGAGGTCTCAGCCTTAGTATTTACAAATAATAAAGCTATTATTTTTTTACAAATATTCTATAACTGTAGTTAGATACACGAATACGTATTATTATAAACTTATTTTTCAAGTCGCATTTCATTGTAGATGGATGATATTTCCAATGTAATCGCCCTCGTGTCTTTTAAGATATTTTCCAGTTTTTCGGCCGTTTGAGTTTCGACAACGGCAATGCCGAGCTGCTCCTCTGCTGGGTCCGGGAAATTCACTGGTTTACAAAGTGCTGGTTTATAGATATCACGAACCTGGTTAATTCCCGTTCCAACACATTTTTTTCCAGTAAGTCTAAGCCACGTTTAATGACTAGGTCGAGACCCACGATGACGTTCAATTATAATAAGGCTATTACTTTGGTCGAGTCCACCTCGTCAGTTATTTCTATGTATCTGTGCTGCAGAGTTTTGCCACTGATCAAAGACGTCAAATGCTAAACGGTCATGTATTTCATCAGGGTCTTCCACTTATGTTTGTCGGTGTACAACCAGCCACACCCAAAACGTTGATTGTAGAAATCTATGTAATTGACAATTTTCGTTTTCGCTTTAACCAATAGATCTAAGTACGGTTTTGGCGGTACGACCTCACCACTGATCTGAAACCATTCGATGTTTGTCTTCTTCTTGATCGAGTCGAGAACTTTTTCTTAACACGTTGATGGACACTCATAATTTTTAAAAATTTCCAATACTGAATAGTTCGCCCAATAGTCGAGTTTCTTTATCATCTGACACCATTGAAAAGATCACTGCTATAGCTGTAATACCATAACATGAATTTTTCATATTACTACTATAGCACTAATGCCACCAAAATTTCAAAATATTATATTACTGCTATAGCAGTAATGACCGTCAATGTGTTAAAATCGTCTCCGTACTTGTCAATTTCGTACTATGCTTGGTGTACGAACATGATGTCCCTGAGAAACAGGTACCTGACAAATCAAACATTCCCGTGGACGTTATTAAATTGCAGTTGCCCCGACCAGAGGGTATACAATACATGAAATACTAGACCAACTGACGTTTCTACGGCTGATATAAGCCTTTAAAAATCTATAGAAAATTCACATGGACAGAGTTCTAGGAGCGTTTTTGTTAAGTTTATTTTGGTATTCGGTAATAATGGCGATGGATTTATCTTAGAGTTAACAGACTTTAAGTAAGTACCTGTCTAGGGCTTGAGTAACGTTGACTCCGTTGTCGTATAGATATTCCAGGCAAGTGTTCAATCGCAACACCATCAATTGGTAGCCGAATCATCTGAATCACCATGCCATCTAAGTAAACAAATTTTGGCGAATAAGGTCGAAAAAAAACACTTTTTGTATTACATTGAAACATAATAATATTATAACCACACAAGGTGTACCTCATCTTTTATTTTTTCATAACGCCGAGAACAGAAAACCATAGTATAATTTTAAAAATAAATATACGCACCTACAAATTGGTTCCACGAGAATTCTCCTAGCCCAGACGCTTCAACTTAAATTAATTTAATTGAATTAAGAAATAACGTTGCTTGTTAATATTGCATTTTTACAAGACAAAACAATCATGATCATCAGCTATCGTTTTTTTTTTAAGCAGAATTTCAAAAGTCACCCCTAATTTTTAAATACTGACCGGGAATTTTTTTAATTTCTCAATACAGGATTAAAAATAATAAAAATAATATTCGTAACATTTCGATAGCGGTTCTTAGAGTTCTTTGTGTTCTGATAATGACATTTAACTCCGAATGATGCATGTTATGTTTTTTTTATTTCCAAAGAGGTACACTATTTTTCCTAATTATGCTAAGAGCATGTACAATTCAGAGAAGGATTAACGTAAAAATGGCCGTTCTCGACAGTTTGGTTTTAAGTAGGGAATATAGTCCAGAAAAATAACTCAATTCAAATAATTCGTATATTAAATTATATATAAATGTATGTTTTTTTATAACTAATAATATTTTTTTTTTAACAATTATACTACAATTGTGAAAGGATACATACATATATATATTATTCAAATGTGTATAACTATTTTTCAAATAACATTACTTTGCTATATACTGATGTTCCCAGCAAAATCCCCCTCATGTCTTTTAAGATTTTTTTTAGTTTTTCGGTCGTTTCATTTTCAGTAACGACAATATCGAGGTGCTTCTCTGGGTCTGACGCATTCACGGGCTTTACGAAGTCCGGTTTCACTAATTTCATGAGCGAAGTTAAATCCTCTTCCAACATTTGTTTTCCCACAACTTCAAAGCCCTGATTAACAATAGGTTCGATAGCCACGATAGCGTTTAATAATAATTCCGACGGACATTTCAAATGAAGCGTGGATATCATAAAGCGTTTCAACGATTTTAAGACGTTTAACTGTTGTGATAAAACTGTGATTACGGATTTCAAACCATTGTGTCTGATTGGATAGTTTAGTGAACCTTTGTCCATCATTACCAGCAAGTAGTCGACGAACAGCGAAATAATGTCAGAAGCTTTTTGGGCTAACATAACGGTAACCGTTTCGGCGACTTCCGCGTAAAAGGCTATTACTTTGGTCGAGTCCACCTCGGCTGCAATGTCTTTGTATCTCTGCTGCAGAGTTTTGCCGCTGATCGAAGACATCAAGTGCTGAATGGTCATGTATTTCATCAGGCTCTTCCACTTAAGTTTGTCGGTGTACAACCAGCCACACCCGTATCGTTGGTTGTAGAAATCTATGTAACCGACAATTTTCGTTTTCGCTTCAACCAACAGATCTAAGTACGATTTTGGCGGTACGACCTCACCACTGATCTGAAGCCATTCGATGTTTGTCTTCTCCTTGATCAAGGCCAAAACGTTTTCTTCTTGTAAATATGGTCCGTAGGTATCGGTGTCGTACACGGCTCGGTATACGAAGATGATGTCACTGAGAAACAGGTACCTGTCAAAACAAACATTTGCAATGGACGTTAGTAAATGGGAGTCGCCACGACGAGGATGAATTACCTTATTGAATAAACTCCTAGATCTTTGTGCAAGTGAATATTCTATAGTTTTTAAAATTCACTTAGACAGAGTTCTAGAAGCCTTTTTGTTAAGGCCACCTTCAGCTCTTGTAAAGTATCACGTTAAGTGTACATATCAATCATGGAAGTAAATTTCTAATAACTGATAACCCTTATTGGAAGTACAAGGTTATACAAAGTTCTACAGGGTCAAATAGGATGCCGTTTATTTAAGTTATTGGCTTACGTTATTCAAAGTTATGAAATAAGTATTTAACTAGTTGTGGTTAATATAAAGAAGGCAATGGAGTTACCTAAGAGTTTTCATGGCTTATGTAAGTACCTGTCTATTGCTTGAGTGACGTTGGCTCTGTTGTCGTACAGATACTTCAGGCAAGTGTTTAGCTTAAACACCGTCGATTGGATTTTGAACAGAAATGTTTCCAAAGACATAG